TATTTTTGTTAGGCTGTGAGATGGGTTAATGATTAGCAGTACTAACGGCACTAACTTATCATTTCAGTGACAAGACACCCCTGCAGAAAACAGAAAAGAGTGTGAAATTTTCCAGCATGCTTTGAATAGCGAAAAGTAGCGCCATCTGGTGGACAAATCTAAACATTTTAAATTGAAGCGAATTTCAATAGCTTTCAATGGGGCATTTTTTTGGCCTTAGATCAAATGTGGATGTGCATAGCTTAACCAGTTTAAGCTAATTTAAGGAGTTGAGACAACTATTCTTAAATTTAAAAAATATATCTTTTGGCAAATATCAGCTATATTCATTCAGCACAGCAGCAAATAGAAAATAAAAGAAATAAAAGAAATAACAGAAAATAAAAAACTGAATGGCACAAAATGTCCCGAACATCATCTATTAATTAAATGAACACAGCACAACAGTCTATTGCTAAAAACACAAGGGAAGCCTCTGAGGGTTAATCTTACAGGTACATCATCATGCTCCACAGAGATGTTGCAGACGATCCATGTGTCGGGTTCACTTTCATTTCTCGGTGGAATCATCCTGATGACTGACAGGAAGAGCACATCTCTCTGAGCGACAGGCCACACTGTCTAAAACAAAGGAGACACGTGATCAATTCAATCAATCAAAAACAGGCTGTGCAATATAACTGATGAAATGTGCATTGTGTTTCACTGTGCAGTGTGCACTCAGTATACCTTGTGCGTCTGGTAGACAACGACGGCATTATCAGAGAGCTTTTCCACAACGTGGAAATTTTCAACGGTGGCTGTGGGAGGGAGAGTTCACATCAGGTCATGGCAATAACATAAGGAAAGTCAAATAGTAATAATATGTTGGACTAAAACACAGATCTTACTCTCCCAGTCCAATCGGACTGCAGTGTCCCAGAAGTAGTGGCAGACCTCATGTCCAGTTACCCCCTTCACAGCATGTGTCGCTTTGAGAGGATCCAGGACAATGCCGTTCTCCTCCACTTCCCTCCTGTATACCTGTTACACAGCACCACAGACAGAATATTATAAACACACTAACAACTTCACCCGTTACTAAAAACTAAGATGATTTTTTTTCAGGCTTTTAAAGTTTTAAATCACCGTGTACGTCAGCGGCGTATTTTTTCACTGAAGCACAAATAAGTTACTACTACAGTACATTTTAAAATGTGAATGAGATTTAAATATTCGCAGCAAACAACAGAAATAATTCATGTTTTCTGCCCTCACCTTCATCGCCCCTTCTTCTGCTACCAGTTGCCAGTTGGCACCTCCACCCTCCTCCTGGATGGAGTAAGCCATGTGATTCTGCACAGTTTCCTCCACCTAAGAGTCAGATATTATAGCATTACAGTATTTATATGCCTGAGCAATCGTCACACCTTCTACCTGTGTATTTAGTTTTTTTTAAACAGAGGTGTTGATAAAAATAAGAGAAGCCATGAATCCCAGAAATGTCTTAAGCAAATTTACTATCCAACTAAATAAATATTACACACTTGATATTGCTTGGGTGTGTTCAAAACCTCAACAACGCGTCACGGTCCCTGATTTCTCCCAGAATTTTGACTTCCTGTATAGTCAGGTTGTGCTATATACTGAGGGAGTGGTTTAGCAAGCGTTTACGTGACGTTCCCAAACACATCACTTGAGGGCTATGAATGTTATCTGAAGCAGATGACTGATTAGCTCGATCGAGGCTGAGGAAGGAGAGTTGGTATAGAGCTGTACATCGGAGAGAGATTTTAAAAAGAAGAAGGAATAAACTACAAAAACTGAAAAAGACTCCGCAGCAGGAGAGCAGAAGACACACAGCAACCCCAAAAAAGTAGCATTTCATACGAATCTGTACTTTAATATTGCAGTGAGCACAAAATGATGTGATTAAGATTAAGGTCAGGTATGTCAGCGTCATCAGCACCAAGAAGACCTTGATTTGTACAGGGATGATAAGACAAAGATAAGAGCAGCAACTTGTTACCTTAAATTGAAACAAAGGTGGACAGGAGTAGGGTGAATAGCACAGAGCAAACAAACATAAATATGGTTCGCACCTTGTTGGCAAATCTGTGTGTGCCGATGCTGGAATATTCATGACCGGAGGAAGCTGAAGGCAGTTGAACTTTCCAGACCGTCCTTGACTGGCTCTGAGGGAACGAGCAGATGAGTTAAAATGAGAAGATCAAGGAGACAGAAATGGGTTTATGGAGGCCATGAATGAGAACATTGAGACAGCAGTGAGGAGGGTGACAGATGGGTTCAAGGTGGTGTTGCTGGGCTCTGAGACCCTTCTCGTGATGGACAGACTGATATATGAGGTTAGAGAGGAGTCTCTGCAGACTATGAGTTCATTTAAGTTCAGTTTTATTTGACATATGCAAGTTAGCACAGGGTCAACATTGCAATGAAATGTATGTGACGAGCAGAAGACAGTCACTCAGCAGTATAGTACAGTAAAAAAAGAAAAACATTGTAAAAGAGCAAACTATTTATAAAATATAGTAAATATTTTGCTCTGACTATGATGTTCACATACAACAATGTGTTCTATAATGAGAGTAGGGAGCAGGTGGAAGAGAGCCTGGGGAGGTGGAGGTATCCTCTGGAGTGAAGAGAAAAGAAAGACAGTAGAAGAAATACCTAATATGTGTGTGTGAACGAGAGGGAGACAGGTGTAACAGTGAAGATGCAAGGAGGAGGGAGGGAAGGTGGATGAGTTTTAATACCTGCGCTCAGCTATTTAAAGCATCAAAAGCAATGGACAGTACACAAGAGAGGTGAAGAAGAGAGTGCAGCCAGGGTGGAGCGGGTGGAGATGAGCCTACAGTGGCGACCCCTAACGGGAGCAGCAAGAAAAAGAAGGAGATGGACCAGAACAAGAGTCCTGGTAGGAGTAGTGAGAAGTGAGAAGCATATTGAGATTATTCCCCGAAGATCACCAGTTATTCTCCACTTACTAAAAACCTCTCATGTTTCTTAGTCTAAAATTAACTTGTGTTCACAATATTTTGTTTAATCTCGATAGAATAAATTAAATTGAAGTTGTTATTGGTTGTATTAGTGCTGTGTTTCTTGGCAGCCTAATTTTGACCTAAAATGAACAGTAATTAATATATTATTATAGCTTGAGTGTTTAATCATAAGAAAGTTTTGCACAGGCCTCTATGTAGTCCCCCAAGAGCTACATTTCAGTCTAAAGGCCTCAGTTAGCATGTTAAATGTTAAAGTTCATGACAGTGCAAAAACACTGAAAGAGTGTGGCTTGTTTGGAAGGGTTGCCAAAAGAAAGCTTCTTGTCTCTCTCTCTAAAAAAAAAAAAGGAAGAACATGGCTGCACAGCTTATCTGAACAAATCACTAATAAGACCTTTGGACAGGCAAGACCAAAGTGGGAATGTTTGTCCATGAAGAACTGCACTATGTGTGTTGAAAGCCAAACACAGCATATCAGTAAAAACATCAACATAGTGGTGGATGTGTGATGATTTGGGGTTTGTTTTACAGCCACAGGATCTGGCCACGTTACAGCCAGCCAAGAACTCCTCTGTATAACAAAGTCTTCTTCAGTCAAATATGAAAGTATTTGTCCCACAGCTACTGTAAAGCTTTACCCGCATGCAATTTGACAATTATCTGATGCAAAGCTTCCAATCTACAGCAGAATGACTGGAAAAAAGAGAAGAAAAATCAAAGTGTTGCAATGGCTCAGTCAAAGTCCAAAATGAGCTGCGCATGAGCACGAAGAAATGCTGTCATTCCACATAACAGCTGATCAGCGAAGAAGTAAAATGGTTAGATTATATTCAATAGTTTATCCCAGTCCAATTAGTATTATTCATTCTGTGACTTAGAAGAAAGGAATTATAGCAAACTAGCTAAACTATCTGGACTTTGTTTTGTTTTTTTTATTGCTGTGTGGATAAACTAACAAATCAAGTGTGGCTACCGGTGAACTGTAATGCTAACAACAGAGTAATACTATTAAAGTCAGAGGAACCAAACACAAGCAAACAGGTATGAAGGGAGGTGTCGGCATTCCAGACAACACTGCCCACAAAATAAATAGAATGTGTCGTATAACCCGGACACAGAGACCTACTGTAACTGGATGGCTGCAGATCTGCACAGGTATCCATCTTTGAGTCTCCTGTTTCAGCAGCTGTTTCTTCTTACTTTTCCGTGACTGCTTCGGTGAACTGTGCAACGAAGTCCCGGTACTCATTTTCTAACTTACTCTCTGAACAAGTGTGGGTAGGTGTGTCCCGCTCCTCGTGTGTTTGCTCTGTGACTGTTTCTGTGTCTCTACCCCACACATCCGCAGTTAAACTTCACATACATAACCAAACACTGATAAGTTTGAGGTTGATTCACTCAGGTAGTCTAACTCACAGGAAATGCTTCCCGGCTTACCTTTACGCACAGAGAGAGAGAGAGCGAGAGAGAGAGCGAGAGAGAGGGAGAGAGAGCGCGCGCGCGAGAGAGAGAAGGAACTGGTTTGTCGAGATCAGCTGAGGATCAGGACACACACGAGGAGCTCTTTTAAAGGCACAGGCCGATCAGTGTCAACATGAACAGGAGAGTGTTACAGGACCGCAAACTGTCCACTTGTTTCATGTTTACTGAGCAGTGACTGTAGGAGTTGAATTTCATAACATGTTTACAGTAGCCGCTTTTATCCGG